GAGGACGACGGTGACTTCTTGCTGCTCCTGTGCCACGCGTACTCGAAGCACGACGCGAGTGTGCGCAGGGCACGCCTAGAAGTGCATGAAGCCCTATTAGAGAATGCGTGGCGCACCGCAATGCGAACGCGCCACTACCTGACGTGCAGTTGCTTGGACGCTCCGTGTGACGCAGCGTGGATGACGCTGTACAAACACGGTCGCGATTCCAACTTTTTAAATGCCACGAGCCTCACGAGGTAAGCTGCAAACGGCAACTATCTTACTTCTTATCTAACTGTTAAGAACTACGCAGATCTGCGTTTCACAAGTTACTGCGCAGATTTGCGCGGTTCTACCACATTCCTTCACTTGGAAGAAGGGGTCGCCCCCCAAGGCTTCGCTACTACCACCAAGCTCTCGGCCTCATTCTCTGCTTCTACGTGGGGTCCATGGAAAATGGGACTCTCTGCATGCTCTTTGGCGTGCCCCCCAATACGTTGTCTCGAACGCTGCGCAGAGCTGAAGAGGCGTTGTGCTGTGCACTTAAAGACTTCGCTCCAGCCCGGATCTCCTGTCCATCGCCGGCTCGACAGAGAGAGCTGGCGGACATGGTAAACGCGCGTGAGCCTCTGCTACACCACACGTTTGGGTTTATAGACGGCAAGAACTTCCGGGTAATTTGAAATTCTGAACTCTACAATGGTACACAGTAGCTAATTCGATGTTGCTGGTACAGGTGCAACAACCGTCTAATGCAGATCTGCAAAACGCAATGTACAACGGATGGTTACACTCCGTTCTGGTCACCGGTACGATTTGCTTCGCAGCCGACGGGTGCATTATTTAGTCCAAGCATAACTGCCCTGGATCTTGGAACGATTCAGACACTTCTTTGGGATTCCGCATGAAACTACTCGATCCTACATACTGCCCGGACGTGCGGATGAACGTCGTGTCGGATTCGGCGTTCCCCTGCTCCACGGCGATGAAAGGGAGGATACTAACACCTTTGAAGGACGGGGATCTCGAAAGGATTCAACCATCGCTACGAAGCTCGGCGCGCACTTTGCACAACGCCATCACTTCTGTGAGGCAGGCAGCGGAGTGGGGCATGGGCAGTGTGCAGAAGGTTTACAGTCGCTTGAACTTGCCACTGCCCTACGACCCAATGCTCCGTGGTCTGAGACTGAACAATCTATTCCGGATGCCTAACTACCGTGTCAGGACGGTGGGCATTTCGGAAATCCGAACGACGTTTACGGGCGCGATGGAGATCGCCCTGTAGCACGGGAAGTGGATGTCGTATTTGAAGCACGGTTGCTAAGTTCATTTGCATGAGTAGTTTCTTCGGGTTGAATACGAGCAGATGATGGACAATTTGGATCGTGTTTGTGGCTGTTTTTGCTCTCTACGAAGGGCTGTTCTCAACATGCAACGCTACGAAGTGGACTTCCTCCCTCTGTGGGCTAATTTGTGGGGTAGACTTCCGCGAGAAGCACCTCACTCCTTCTTGAAAAGAGCTCCAATGAAGAACATGAGCTCTTGCGAGCGCGCGCGAGCTTCCTCCTTCTCGCGACGTGCTCGATCTTCCATCTCCACCTTCTCCTGACGGCGGCGTTCTTCAGCTTCAAGCTTCTCGGCGTGGTAGCGGGCTTCGCGTGCTGCGACTTCATCGCGTCGGCGCTGTTCTTCGTCTGCTCGTCGAGCTTCACCTTTGCGTTCGCTGTCCTCGCGCATGAGGATCGTCAACTCAACGATATTGTTTCCCATGGCGCTGGACCCCGTCTCGAGGTCGCTCAAGCGCTTTTTCAGCTGTGTAGCCATCCTGGTGGCCTTCACCCGCTTCACTTTGGCGTAGCTGGCTTCGGCCAGCTCGTCGTCGTCGTTGGCATCGCGTTTGCGCCAAATGGTGCTTCGGAAGTCTTCGAGGTTGCTCCCACCGAGGCGGTTCCAAGCGTTCAGGTATCGCTTCGATCCTTCCGACGCCCGAGCACGAGTTGTGGAGGGTTTCTCCAAACTGATTACACTTGATCCCACGACCGGAGGCTGAGTCGGCTTCGGCAGCCCAGCAGAGCGAAGGTGGCGTTGCGTGGAGGTGCTTGGATTCGGTGACGGTCTGGGGGTCGAAGCAAATGCCTCCAGCCCTTCACGTACGGCGGCCGATTCGAGCAGCTCGTCGATGCTACCGATCGGTGTGTTAGACTCATCGTCGCAGCCGTTGTGATGGTACGTGTCGGTACCGATGGCGGAGTGCGTGCTAGCAGTGCTGTCCATGGAGCAGGAGGTGTTGCAGAGGCCGTCGTCGCCCTCGTACTCGAAGCTGAAGTCAGGTTGCTCGTCCTCTTCATCTTCTTGACCATTGGCGTCGGCCCCATCATCCATCTCTTCAACACCCGCCTTCTCGTCGATGCTCTTCTTGAGCATCTTTGCTTTTTTCACGTGCGAAGGCATATCAGCCACACCGTCGGCTTACGCGTGCTGTACAACATCTTGAACTTGCGCTGGAGACTCTCGTAGTCGCGCTCGGCGATGCCGCGGCCTCGATTCGAGTTGTAGGAGTTGGCGAGACGTTTCCACTCGTCTTTACCGAGAGGTAGGAACTTGGCAACGAGGGTCAACATTCGTTGCACCTCGGAAAGCTTGTAGTTTGCGCTTCCAGTTAGTTTAGTCATCTACAAGTACGAACACGACCACAAAAAACGTCATCACAGGCTTTACGTAGACTTAGGGGCAGTAACAGCATACTGGTGTCGATAAAAGCGTCGGGTGGGGCGAGCACTTGGTCGTGACACGGGGCTTGGGCTTGCTCGAAGCTTGGGAAAATCAAGAATGGGAGTCCTGACACCTCCAAGCTGCGCGCGAACGCGCGCAGTCAAAGCGAGCCTGTGGCACGACGCGGCTGCTGTACACCAATTACGAGCGTCAGTAGAAACCACAACAAGAGTTCGCACCCAAACCGAGAGCGCGCTATCAAAGATCCGAGTTTATTTTGCCGTTGGTTTCACGCCAGATCGCTAGTTTTGGCGCGAAGTCCCTTCGCAAAGCTCAACGTAGTCTATAATTTTCGAAATGAAGAGGAGCAAAGCTTGACTTTAACGTCAAAGTAGCTTGTCAAAGATGGATACATTTATTCACAGGATGTTAGTATGCACTCCCATCCTACTCACCACGTTCGCACCTTGCAGATTCTCGCACGCATGCTACGGGTTCCGCTCGTTCTGGATGTCGCGGTGACGGCAAGTCTCGAGACCACATCGACACACGAACCAGAGATCCGTCCCGTAGTCGACAGTGACTTCCTCTCCTTCCTGAATGTCCTCCGTCGTAGCGATGACAACGGTAGTGCGGCGACCGTTCGCCACCTCGACGAACTGCGCCACCGGCGCACACGAATGGTTGACGAAACGCATGAGGCTGCCCATACCTGCGGCGTTGATGGCGACACGGATCGGATGACTCGGCCTTTCAGGGCACTGGGTCATTACGAGGCGGTAGCCTTCATTTAGAGGTCGAAGGGCTTTTTATACGCTCACGTGCTCCAACTCGCCCAAGTACTCGCCCAGAACTTCACCCGCTTCAATGTCCTCCGCCGCGACCACCGCCAATTGCCTTGTGCGAACGTTTCTTGCCAAGTAGACCGAAGACGACTCTCCTAAGGCGTTACCACACTTGGCATCGTACGGACAGCAGCCTGGTGTGCAGAACATCTGCATCAGCGAGTTCCTGCACGTGCCCACACGGCACGGCATCGAACACCCACACCAGCCGAAGTGGGGCACCGTCGGGCACACCAAACCGGTCGGGTTAAACTGAGTGCGCAGGTTGGCCACTTGATACGGCCAGTCTGCAGGTATGAAGCGATCGCGAGAACGGGCGACAGCAGCACGCGGCTTTTGAGCTGCGATCGGACTTGTTCGCATGAGGCCACGAGGGTTCACCGTCAACGATGCCGCCTCACGCCGCTCACCATGACGGCGGTGGTTTGGGTGGGCAGAAGCTCGACGCCCTTGCCGTGAAGAGCGGTGCTCTCGAAGGGGAACTCTCAGCCCTAGTCGAGGAACTGGCGGTGAAGGCGCCCCCAGCATCACTGGCGATGATGTTGTCAGGCTGCGCGGCGGACGTACTAGTGGCGAAGTTGCTGGCTCCTCCAAATCATCAGCAACAGAACGAGCATCATCATCTTTTGGTTGTCGCGGAGGCGAATCCGCCAGGATAGAGCAAGTCCCAGGAGAGCTGTAGCCATCCTTCTCACCGGCAGCGACACCTCGGTACAGGTTCGGCGGTGTGTTCTCCTCTTCCTCCGTGGACGAATCGCCGATGCAACGCTCGCGCCAGTACGCGGCCGAATGAACCATGCTCTGTAAATACGAAATCCGTTAGCAAACACCCATCTCCAAGCTCCTTGAGCACGTACCTTTCGCTTCGGTGGTGGCGGCTTGCTGTCACTGGCCGATTTTCGAAAGTGACGGCTTCTTCAACTTGAGCGCAAACATGAGATATGCGAGATATATGCAGAAAGAGTGATTGTAGGGCAGTTCAGAGCGATGATCAGCTTTTTCAATACAGTTTTTAAGATCTCGCTATAAGATGGCTGCAGATATTAAATCTAGGGGTAGGGTAGATTATTCAGACGATTTTTACGTTTCACGGATTCTATTCGATTCTTATGGCTGCCATATCTGCCGCAGGTATGTCGAGTGCTTACTCTAGTTTTGAAAGGCGTCCAATGAGCAAGTTGCCATATTTATCACGAAAATAACGCGTATCCACGGTGCGTGTTCTCTGGATATTTATATCCAGAGTCTTAGTGGCTTC